GGCGCGCCCCTGGAAGTTCAAAGCGGCGACAGGTGGCCCGGCCATCGCGGTCTCCAGGACACAGTTGCCTGTGCTGCCCAAGAAGCAGGGGACTCTGCATGGCGTCCAGGGCAAGACGGCGGACCCAGGCTTCATCGTGCACTGGACGTTTCCGCCAGGACCTTATAATGGTACTAGTAGTGGTAGTACAAGTAGTAGTAGTGGGAAAAGTAGTAGTATAGTAGTGGCAGTAGTAATCGCAATTCTAGTAATAGTAGCAGTAGTGATGATAATAATACTGTTGATAGTCATGGAGTGAGGACTCAAGAAGGAGTCCATTTGGCTGGCCTACTACGTCAGCCTGTCGCGGCCCAGGAGCTTCGCCCAGCTCTTGAGGCACGGCTTGCCTGACCGGAGCATCATCGAATCCGGCCCCCCGGAACAGATCGCCAAGGCCTTCGCCGAGCTCTTCGCGGACAAGATTGCCGCGACGAAGATCGCTTGCGCGAAGGCCCGACAGCAACTGGGATGGCCTGCGCGAGCTTGAGGAGCCATGAGATGCAGGTTGCGTTGTGGCGGTGCTGTTCAGTCTGTCCGTCTGCATTCGCGTGGTGCTTCTCAGCCTGCATGCGCGTGGTGCTTCTCAGCCTGCGCTCGTGTGCAGCTGTGCGCGGTGAGCCTGCACGTGTCGCGGAATGCTTTTCAGCCTGCGCGTGTCTGCAATGCTTTTCAGCCTGCACGCTTTGCAGCTTCTCCGCTTCGCACGCCGCTCCTCAGCGCGGTCCTCTGAAAAAAGGACAGTCATCATCTCATCGTCGCACTCATCATCGCACTCATCATCATCATTCATTGCCAGCGTTGATAGCAGTGTCTCCTTTTTACACGAGTGCCACCATTCATAGCAGTGTCTCGTTTTGACACATTTCCAGCGTTGATAGCAGTGTCTCCTTTTTACAGGACTCCGAACTACAACTACTACTTCACTGTTACCACTGTTTCATCTTTCCTGCTCTTATTGCTAATACTACTGCGAGTGTTACTGCTGCTGCATGCCTCCAGCTATGCTACTACATATCGATGTTAGGTTGCTTTGCCGGGATATTTTTTTTACATGCCGTGGATCCATGTGCACGTGCATGTGTGTTAATGTATCCACGTACGTGCCGTGGCTACATGTACATGTACACACTGCCGATCGGAACCCACGGGCCCAAAACGGGCCCCAAGACGGCCCATCAGCGCTCGAAAAGGACCCACTATGGTTTCAAGACGGCCCACGAGGCCCCCAAGACAGTCCAAGAGGCCCCAAAAGGGACCCCCAAGAGCCAAAAACCGTCCCATTCCCGCAGGGAACGTACGCTTTTGAAGATATTAGCTTTATCCGCTTTCGCAGCGTCCACGGCATCCCCAGAGACTCTCAAGATCGCCCCAGGACGGCCTCCGAGGCCTCTATGAGCGGCCCAAGGCGGCCCGAAGCCCAAGGCGGCCCAAGAGGGGCCCCAGAGGGCCCCGAGAATTCCTAAGAGAGCCCCAAGAGAACCACAGGAGGCCCCCAAGAGTGTCCCAAGAGGGCCTCCGAAAAGTCCCTGGACGGCCCAAGAGGGCTCCAAGACGGCCCAAAACAAACCCAAAAGGAGTCCTCTGGTCCGGAGAGTCACCAGGAGCTCAAACGTGAGCCCACATCGAGGCCCTCGAGAGATGAGCGCCCCATCTGCAGTTCAGACGAGAGCCCCATCGTCGTTGTCGTCGTCGTCGTCGTCGTCGTCGTCGTTGTCGTCGGCGTCGTCGTCGTCGTCGTCGTGGTGGTGGTTGTGGTGGTGGTGCTGGTGGTGGTATTGGTTTTCGTGATCGTGGTCGTATTCGTGGTCTCGATGCCCCCTCAGCTGAAACGCGCGATGACTTATTGCTTTTCCGAGAAGCGTCCAGAACAAGGCGCATGGCGCGAAGCGCCAATGCAGTTTTGTTTATGTATATATACACAGGGACAGCGACTGCGTCCAAGCAGGTCCTCTTGGGCTCGGGACCGCGCGTTCATGACACATTTTGGGGCACGCGCGCCAGCGCTGGCGCCGCGCTTGACGAGGCCTATGGGGAGTTTGGGTTGTGCATTGACGAAGGGGGAGTAGAGGAGAGATTGGATGTTGAGGCGGAGTGCGTTACCCTGCCCCCATCCCTTCCCCTGCTAGCCTTCTCCTCTCGTGTCTGCACCCCTTCAACAGTGAGCTCATGGCGTTGCCTCTCCGTTTCCGTGGTAGTGATGCGCAGGCTGTCCATAAATCGCGCCGACGTTTGAAAGACAAAGTCACCGTTGGCCATACCAGCCGTGATTTTTCATGTTGCGTGCGCTTTGGGAGGTGTGGCGAAGGCGTTGTGGGATTTCGAATGACGCGCCAGGCAGACTTGCGCGGAGACTCCTCAAGTGGATTTTGGAGAAGCGAGGCGCGTGAATTCTAAATGGATTTCGCATGAACGAATTCTTCGCTTTTAAATGCAGCAGTGTCGAGCCAAAACGGACAAAACCATCCACGAGAAATTCACCATTCACCGGAAACTCGCGATACACTCACATTGAAATTCTTTACGCTTCGCGTATCCCCACCAGCCCATCTCACAGCAGCAACTCTCGCGAAGCATGCCGACAGTCGTGTTTTTCAGGCGTGTGTCCGCTTGGCCCCGCATATCTCCCCTGTTCCTCCTTCCTCCCGCCTCCTTGTACATCCTCCTTGTGAGGGGAGCGGGAAAAGGACGAGGCGGAGGAGAAGGGAGAGAAAGCGCTCCTCGTGATTTGAGTCGTTTGGGGTTTCTCGTCCTGGTGTGAGTCGTTCGGGCCCTTCTTCCTGGTGTGAGTCGTTCGGGGTCTTCGTGGTGTGAGTCGTTCGGGCTCTTCGTCCGGGTGTGAGTCGTTCGGGCTTCTCGTGGTGTGAGTTGTTCGGGCCCCTCGTCCTGGTGTGAGTCGTTCGGGCCCCTCCTCCTGGTGTGACTCGTTCGGGCTCCTCGTGGTGTGAGTCGTTCGGGGCCCTCGTCGTGGTGTGAGTCGTTCGGGCTCCTCGTGGTGTGAGTCGGTCGGGCGCCTCGTCCTGGTGTGAGTCGTTCGGGCCGTTCGTCCTGGTGTGAGTCGTTCGGGCTCTTCGTGGTGTGAGTCGTTCGGGCCCCTCGTCCTGATGTGAGTCGTTCGGGCTCCTCGTGGGGCCTCTTGGGGGCCTCTTGGAGCCTCGTGGGGCCTCTTGGGGGCCTCTTGGGGGCCTCTTGGGGGCCAATTGGGGGCCTCTTGGGGCCTCTTGGGGGGCCTCTTGGGGGCCTCTTGGGGGCCTCTTGGGGGCCTCTGGGGGCCTCGTGGGGCCTCTTGGGGGCCTCTTGGGGGCCTCTTGGGGGCCTCTTGGGGCCTCTTGGGGGCCTCTGAGGGGCCTCTGGGAGGCCTCTTGGGAGCCTCCTGGGGGCCTCTTGGGGCCATCTTGGGGCCTCTTGCGACCTCCTCAGAAGCGCAAAGTAGAGCTGCCCCCGAAGAAGGACAACATGAGCCCAAAACCTTCGTAAAATCAATGATTTTGCTATGAAGGACGATGAGCGCGGCCCCCTCAGAAGTCCAAAATGGGGCCAAAACCCTAGTAAAATCAATGTTATATGCTTCGAAGAGGAGTAGAGGCGCCAAACTCCTCCCCCCCTGGGGGCCAGAATCCTCGTGAGGGTCGTCGTTTTTTGGCCCTCCCAGGAGTCGAAAAAGACCCCCTTGATTACACTCGGGACGCCCTCTCCAGGTCCAGGGGAGGGGGTAGGGGGAGGGGTAAACCCCTCCCCGAAGGGGAAGATAGGGGGTTAGGGGGTTGAGGACAGAGAGAGCTCGCTAAACCACTCACGCCCAAAGGGCTGGTGGGATTCACCGGGGGTCCACGTGAAAACCGGAAGGGCTTCGCGGAAAAGTGCACGGATGCATTCTTTGCGAAATCAGCAATGCCCGCGCCGCGATTTTTGGCTTGCATGCGGCCTAGTCCTGGGTGAAAAGAAAAGGTGAGCGGAGGGGTCCGTCGAGTCAGTGCGGTCTCTCCCCCAATCCTCACGAGGAAAAGTATGCAGTTAGGAAAAAGGGGGAACTCGGGGATACACACCCGGGTTGTTTTGGATGCCCCCCCCTCGTCGTGGGTTCCCGAACGTAGCCCCAGACAGGGAGCCGTTCTCGGCCGCCAGGTGACATCGGCCGATATGATCTTGCCAGTGCGCGGCCCCAGAGGTCCCAACCGCTTCCTCGGGGGTAGTTTTTCGCCCTGGAGACACTTCTGATGGCCCTGGGGCCGAGAGCCCAGAGGCCGAATTTGTGCGAGAGCGCAGGGATGGAACACCACGCGCATCGTGGGAGTTCCTGGCCCCCCCCGATCTCTCCAGCTTCGTCCTGGCTTCGTCTTGGGCCTGCCCTTCCTCCGATGCTTCGGTTCGGATCGAGGTATAAGATCGAGGTCGGTTCGGGGAGGGTGCCCTAATATTCTTCGTGTTCGTTGGAAGCTCTTGTGCGTACTGGGGCAGGGCGCCCTCGAATGTTCTTCGTTTTGGCCAGAGGAGGGTCTCATGTTCTTGAAGGATGTTCTTCTGTCCTAGGTCCGGCCGTACGGAAAGAACAGGGACGAAGACTGTCCATTTCGAACCGGATTCGCTGTCTGTGTCGCTGCGGCGTTTTTCCTTTGAGGCGCAGGCTCGTCTGCCCGACATCGGCCGCTGTGTTGGTCCGGACAGATTTGTTGCGGATGGGCACTGTCATCATTATTTCCGTACCCATTGCGCGCGTGCCAAATGCTGGCCGCTCCCCGGGCTTCGGATGCAATCCCTGGGAGGTCAGATTCTGAATTTGCTCTGGTCCGAAACCTGGGTTATTCTGGCTTAGTCACGTTTAGTCCCGCTTACTGCGGCTTAATCCAGTTTGAATCTCGCTTAATCCGCGGTCGAATCCGGCGTAGCAGCCCCCCAGTGGGGCTCAATTCTCCCCGATTCTGCCGATGAGGACCTTCCAGTATTTGCCTCCTGACCGGGCGCAGGTCTCCCAGGTGCCGATGCTGGCGGCTCGGCGCCCTGTTCCTCGGCGGGCTGGCCGCGCTGAAGCAGGGGGTCGGCTTTGCCTCGCCGCGCACCTCGAGGCCCCCGGGGGGGCGGGCGGAGGATCGCGCCATGCATCGCCGGTGCATCGGCGATGCGGCTCGATGCGAGAGCCGAGAGCACTGTGCACCGTACCGCCTCGGAGCAGGGTCCGAGCGGAGTGCCGACGTGCTGCGGTGCATGGGCGCCGTCCTCGTAGGAGGGGACGTTCGGGGCCTCCCGGGTGGTGTCCGAGCAGATGAGGTCGGAGGATCGCGCCGCATCGCCGACGCATCGCTGATGCATCGCCGATGCATCGGCGATGCGGCTCGATGTGGAGCCCGATGTTCTCCGCGCCAGCGTCGCCGATGCATCGGCGATGCGTCGGCGAGGCTGTGCAATCTTCCGACCCCACGCAGGAGGCCCGTCGGACGAGCCCCAGCAGAGCACCCTGGTAGCAGCTGAGGTGAAGAGGCGGGTCGAGGAGTACGGGGTCGGCTAGTGAAAACGTGGTCTCCAGGGCGTTCCCTGGGGATTCTTTTAGAAAGGGCACGAAGTGCGGTCGAGTGTGGGAGTGGAGTTCTCTAGGGATTCTTCGGAAACGCACGAAGTGCGGTACATAGGTTGTAGAGTGCTGACTTTTGCGTCAGAAGCGTATGCGGGAGTGGAGTTCTGGCAACACGATGAAGAGTGGGAAGTGTGGTACAGTCGGATCGAGCTATGAGATCGAGGGCGGTTCGGAGAGGGTACCTTAATGTTCTTCGTGCTTGTTGGATGTTCTTGTGCATCCTGGGGAGGTTACCCTGGGAGGCTCTGCGTGGTCTGGCCGGCGGAGGGTCTGATTTTTTTCTTGAAGGATGCTCTTCTGGCCCAGGTCCGACTGTAGGCCGGCTCCCCCGCCTCCTCTCGTCGCGGAACATGTCACGACGGGAGAGGTTTTTTGTCAGTTCCCGGCGGCCTGGGGCCCTCACCCCCCGCCCCAGGACCGCAGCAGAAACGACGCGGGACGAACAGCTGGTCCCCCGGGGAAGGGTCTAGGCATTTTTGGGGCTCACGTTGTGAGAAAGTCACGACGTCGGAGCTTCGGGTCCGAGCTTGGACTCGATGGGGGAGGGGAGGAGGAGGAGGAGGAGGAGGAGGAGGAGGAGGAGGAGGAGGAGGAGGAGGAGGAGGAGGAGGAGGAGAGGAGGAGGAGGAGGAGGAGGAGGAGGAGGAGGAGGAGGAGGAGGAGGGGAGGAGGGAGGAGGAGGAGGAGGAGGAGGAGGCTCCTCTTCTCGAGGCAGAGAAATTGCAGGAACAGAAACCTCCAGAGGTCTGCGCGGATTTCTCGGATCGGCGTTGGCCCCCCCCCGGCTGAGCCTCTGGCGCTGCCCCTGGGGCGCCCCGCGAGCCAGGGGGGGGGGGGGTCCAGCGCAGATCCAAGAGCGTGCGGACCTCCGATTGTTGTTGCAATGTCCTTCTCCCCTGCCTCCCTCTTCCCTCCTGCTCGTCCTGTTGCTCATCCGCCTCCGCCTCCTCCTCCTCCTGCACCTCTCTATCCCCATTCGCGCCCGCTACGCAGTCGTCTGCAGCTTCTCGGCCCGATAGCTGCCCCGCTCGCCCCCCCACTCCCCTCCCCGCGCGCGCGCGGCCGGGGCGCCAGGGGCCCGCGGGGCCATCGCCGTTCAGGTTTCCTCGACACCTACGCGGCGATCGTCGGCTCCGGGTTCGCCACCCCGCGCTGGCCCAAGTCGGTCGGGCCGGCGCCTGTGGCCCGTACGACGAGAGCGAGCGTCGGGGCCGACCGTCCGTTCTGAGCGGTGGTCGGTCGGGCAGGCGCGCCTTTCGGCACCCTGCCTGCCGTGGCCTCCGGGCCTTGCTAGCACCGTCGCCGCTCGCTCTTCGGCGGGCGGTGCGGACAGGGCCCATGCCACGTCCTGCCGTTGGCAGGTCTCTCCAGCCTGCACCAGTCTGGTGGTCTTCGGCGCTCTCCACGCCGACTTCGGCGCAAAACTCCTCTCCCTCCTCCTTCGCCTTCTCCCCCTTGGCCTTTGGGGCGGCGGAGCAGGAGGCCCATCTGAGGAGAGGAGTAGGAGGGGGGCCTCACACGCCGCAGCGCCACGCCTTGCGTCGTGGCGCAGCGCCAGCCCTCGTCTCGGGCGTTCAATGTGCCGCCGCGCCTGGGGTCTCAGCCGCCGCTTCTACGCAAGACTTTCAGCCGCCGCGACAGAGACGCCCGACGGAGGGCACGGTGGCCAAAGGCGCTCCGACGCGCCGCCCAAGGGCTTCAGCCGCCGCGCAAGCCATGCCCGCCATTCCTGCTGCCAGCGAACCCAAGGCCAGCGTGTTCAACGCCGAAGCACCAGAGGGGTGCCCTGCGAAGATAACTGCGCTCTTGGGAAGGGAAGTGGTGGACGAGGATCTCTCTTACCTCCCCCCGCCTCCTTCTCCTTGCCTCTACTTCGCCACCTGGCTCACCTGTGCCGCTAAGTATGGCGACCACTTTGTGGGCCCCGCCTGCTCCACCGTGGGCGGGGGAGCGTCACTCGCGGGGCACACGGGCTCTGCCGCCGCCTCGGTTTCCTGGCCTTCGGCTGGAGGCATCGCCGCGGCCACTTCTGCCGACGATGCTGCTCGGACCGCCGGGGGCGGATACATTCGCGCACCTCCAGGCTTGGACCCGCTGCCTCCTGGGCCTCCGGTCAGGCAGAGTGGGCCGCCTCCGGGCCTTGACGTCTTGGAGGTTGGTTCCCAGAGGCTCAGTGCGGCATGCCCGCGCCGTGGCGCGGCTGCGGCTAGGAGCCCCACGGTCGTCTATCAGGTCCGACCTGGGGCCACGGCGTCAGAGGCCGCGCTTCCTCTACTGAGGACGCCGCCTCCGCCGCCACAGGGTCGCCCCTGGAGCGGTGCGTTGGCCCTGGTGGAGGCGGGGTGCTCCGTCGTCCCTCCTCGGGGTTCTTCGGCGGCCATGTCCGCCTGCGGCCTTGACGGGGGTAGTCCCTCCTTTTCGGGGGCGGCGCCGCGGTGTGGCTCGAAAGGGGTTGGCATGCGCCCTGCCAGCGATGCTGATACGGCCCCGCAGGGAGGGGCTCGCACCGCCCCCCCAGCCGCCACCGCAGTCCACCAGCCTGGCACCCCGCCGCGGAGCGGCCCCAGGGCCACCTCGGCCTTACGCGCCGACCTCCACTTGTGGGACCTGCACACGGGCTCCGACACTCAGGGTGAGGATCCGCCGCCAGGCCTCTCCGGCTCCGAAGCAGGCTCACGGGTGCCGCCTTTGGTCGACCTCCGCGCGGCCCTTGCCTCGGATGGGGTGCAGCTGTTTAGCAGCGGGAGTTTGCCGTGCACTGCGGCGTCGCCACTTCTGTCCGAGCGCTTCACGGTCGCCGACGGTGACCGCGCGGCCAGCGGAACACCCCTGAGCGCGGACTGGCATCGTGTCTCCGGGGATTCGCCCTCCCAGGCCAGGCAACTGAGGCCACCGTCCGGAGTTGCCGCCCCAGAAGCGGATGTTCATGCGCCGCCGCCGCTCCACCGTAGCGCGGTTGGTCCCGCCTCACTTCGGGCGGGCGCTGCCCGTGGGCGCATGTGGTATGGTGAGCGTGCAGGGCTCCTGCCTTTCACTAACCTCGAGGGCGGTGTCGGCGCGCCAGCTGCCGGAGGGCCACCTCCCCAGTCAAGCGCCCGCGAAGGGTTGCGCTCGCTCGGGCGACTCGGCGATGCGACCTTGTCTCTGTTAGCCCCCCCACGTCACGAGGCGGCGGTTGCGACGGCGCCCGCCGCCGTCGCCGCTGTTTCTCTGGGGGCTGTCGCAGCGACTGCTCGCCAGGCGACTCCTTTGCCCGCCGCAGCCGCGTTCGGTAGCGGAGGAAGTGGGGTCGCGTCGAGTGGCTCCACCGCGGCCTCTGTTCCCGCTGCCTCCGCAGGCGAGCCCCCGCTGTCGTTCAAAGGAGTCACTGCTGCAAACGCGGGGCTTCCTGCGAGCGGAGTGGCTCGCTGGGGCCTTCGCGACCCGCCGCGGTCGCTCGGGGTTCGCGCGGATCCCCCCGCATCCCCGCCAGGTCCATCTTCGGCGCCGGCGGAAACCACTCAGAGCGCCTCTGCTGCGAGCGCAGGGCCCCTGGCGAGCAATGCGTCCAGCTCGAGCCCTCGCGACCTGCCGTGGTCGATCGGGGTACGTGGGGCCCCCCCGCGTCCCTGCCAGGCTCGTCCCCTTCGTTGGCGGACGCCCTCCGGAAGTCGGCGATTCCCTGCCTAGGGGCCTCACCCCTGCCTCCAAGGGAGCCGCTTGCGGTCAGTGCCTCCAGTGCGAGCGCCCACGCCATCTTGCACCCGCTCGGGCTGCTCGGGAATCCAACCTCGGCGTCGACGGACCCCGCGTCCCTGCCAGTGTCGGCCCCCTTGTTGTCAGGCGCTACGCGGCATGTTTCTGCTGCTGCTGCAGATGGTTTCGGGGTAGCTGGTACCTGCCTGCCGGGCGCCGCTGCTTCGGCGCCACAGAGCACGGGTCGCACCGATCCCTCAGCCCCCGCCGCAGCTCGCGATTTGGGCACGCCGCCGCAAAGCTGTCCTATGGCCACTTCGCCGTGTCTTCCAGGCTTCCTGCCCCCACCAGGGCTGGAGCCGCCGTCACGGCAGTGTGCCTCGCGTCGCTCTGGGGGCGCCCTCCGCGAGGCTAGAGGCGCTCCAGCCCTTCGCCGACGTGGCGGTTCGTCTGGGTTTTCAGCCATTCGGGATCGCGGCCACGTTGGCCAGGGCACCTGCGCCACCTCATCGCGTCCAGCTGCGCGCTGGGACCCCAGCTTCGGCGCTCGTCTCAGCGGGGGGGAAGGCTCGGTCGAACGCCCCTCCGCCGGCGCTCCCGTCTGCCCCTCCCGCGCGCGTCCCCCCGCCACTTGGGCGGGCCGACCCCGCTGCGGTCGCCGGCTCCGCCGGGGGGGTCGCAGGGGACGCACTGGGGCTGCCTGCCGAGGCGCCCCAGAGGGCTCTCGATCTGGCTTTCATCTGCCAGCGGGAGGCGCTGCAGCGGTGCATGTTCATCGTCCAGCTGGTGGGGGGCCGCGGCTACCTCGGAACCGTATGG